GTACAAGTATCAAATACTCATGATGAATATAAATATTGTGTGCTGCAAATATGAATTAAAGATAATGATAATACTTTATAATGGAAATGAGGAAAGGAGATCTAGAGATAGAGGAAGATGGGTGAGGAGGTGGAGGGGAATAAAAATTAATAAGGATATGGTACCTACATAAACCTATTGCTTCAGATGAATGCAAAATTTATTGTAAACATGGGCTGATAAAGTAAAAGATGAAACAAAATAAAATAAATTTTAAAATAACGCAAGTGCTCCACCACTAAATTACATCCCCAGTTCTTTTTCATTTCTGTTTTGAGAGAGGATCTTGCTAATTTGCCCAAGTTGACCTTAACCTTGCTCATGGTCCTTCCTTCTAGCCTTCTAAGCATCTGGGGGTTTTCAGGTATCTATCACTGTGCTTGAATAATCACCATTTTTCTTAATTGATGAAATATACATACTATTAAAGTTACTATTTTGACCATTTAGGTGAATGTCATTCAATGGTATTTAGTATGTTAGGATTGCTGTACAAATATCACCATCATTTGTCTCCAGAATTCTCCTCATCTTGCAACTGAAACTCTGTGCTTACTAAATAAAAACTTCCATGTGTGCCCCCCAAATCCCTAACAACTGCCATTCTGATTTTCCATTCTATGAGTTTAACTGTCTTCAACAAGTGGAATTTTACAGCACTTGTCTCTTTGTGACTGTCTGATTTCACTGAACATAAAATCCCCAAAGTTCATCTACACTGCTAGAGACCAAGACCCAGCATTTCTCTGAATTTTATTCCTTAAAGATGAATTATATACCAAAGTATGTATGTATCACATTTTCTTCAGTCTCTTATCAATTAATGAACACGTTTAAGTTGCTTCCACCACTTGTTTATTGTAAACAAGGCTTCTATGATTGTGGGTATTCAAATAGTTTCTTCAAGTCTCTGTTTTCAGTTCTTTCAGAAGAGGAATTGCTGGATATGGTAATTTTTGCTGGTATATTTTTTGGTGTTTTCAGGCAGAATATTATATGTTAACTAGATCTTCCTGGTTAATAGTGTTGTTCAAGATTTCTGTGTCCTTTTGGCTTTTTAAAATTTTATTTTAAAGAGGTTAAAACAAAACAACAAAGCAGATCAGAAGAAAATAATACAAGTGACACAGATTTCAAAGTAAGACAGCAAGAGATCAACAGTGGCTGCCATAATGTCTCTTGTTTTCTCCTAAGTAGTTGTTCATATCTTCACACACAATGAATTCATACAAAACAAAATAGTATAAAACTTATCAAAACAGAGCAATGAAGGCATTACAGGCCTTCCATATCCTTTTGTATTCCTGATTTTCTGTCTACTTGTTGCATCAGTTATAGTGGAAAGATTCTCCAACAAAAACTAAAGGTATGCCTATTTCTCCTGTTAGCTCAATCAGTCTTAGCATCATGTATTTTTAAGATCTTTTGTTAGAAGTATGCATACTTAAGATTGGTTATGTTTTTTGTGGACAGTTAAACCTTTTGTAATTATGGTGTGGTTTTCTTTGTGCTCAATAATCTTTCTTATTTTAAAATTTTTTTCTGATATTAATACAGCTCCATTCCATCTTTTATTCAGTATTTTTATGGTATATATTTTTCCCTTCTTTTACTTTTAAATTATACATGTCTTTACAATTTTTAAGGGTGTTTCTTATAGATATGAGAACTTGCATTGCTATTCAATCTGAAAATCTCAGTATTTTAAGTAGTACATATGTTTATGGCATTTACATTTAAAGTATCGTTGTAGTTGGGTTAGTGTCTAACTTGCTGTTTTCTTTTTGGTTAATCTGTTCTTAGTGTCCTTTATCCTCATTTGCATTCCCTTGAGTTAACATTTTTTATTAGCCCATTTTCTCTATTTTACTGACTTTGCATACATTTAAGTATGTTCATTGGTTACCTTAGGGCTTACAAGTCCTTGGTTAATGAGCCTAACTTCAAATAATTTTGTGACACTCTAAGCATAATAAAAGGACCTTATAACAGTGTATTTTCAATGCCTCTTTCCACCCCCGGGGCTATTGCGATTGTCACTACAACTGGATATTAAAACATTCCAAAGAATTTGAGAAAACAATGCTTGTTCCTCCCAGCCAGCCTAAAAAGCCTCGTAATTCACAAGGTATTGGGTACAACACTCAGAAGGATTAGACTTAGAATAAATCCTTGTATGGCTCCACCTATCAAATTTTAAAGTTCCAAAAGGATTCAAGTATTTTAACTGGACCTCAGAATAAGGCTTGAGAATATTCATATTACATATGAACACCCAGCTCCCTATAAAAACTGGCTGAATGTTGGGCTGGGTAGGAAATACATAAAAGAAGCCTACTGCATTCTGTGATGGTAGAATGCTATTTTGTTTTGTTTTGTAACTGCAGTAATGGTGTATGTCAAAGCACCACAGGAGCTAAATGAAAATATCCAATGACAAAAAAACAGAACGGTTTGGGAATTAGAAAGAGTCCCACATGTCTATAGCAAGGAGTCAGAAGGGCCTGGGTAGACTGCAGAGAGGAAAGAAGACAGAGACACTTGGATGTGAGTGAGCTGTGTAAGAGCTTCGATTGTTACTCTAGGTATAAAGTGAAACCGTCGGAGGGTTCTGAGTGAAGAACTGATGTGACCATGTTTGTGTCTCTGATCCTGATTGCTGGTGGATGGACATTTAATTCAGGGAGGAAAAAACAGAAACAGGAAAACCAGCTGAACTGGAGCTACATTCCAAGGAAGGAGTTAATGGCGGTATTGAAAAGGTGCTATCATAGCTAGGAGTTAGAAGTTGCATGGAAGCAAGCTTTGGCCAAGCATGAGTAGGATTTTTAATGTTTAGGACTGATCAACAGTATTATGTTTCAGGAATAACAATTGCCTTTTATTGCCAAAGTTGAGACTCTATTTGACTCTGAATTTTGTTATTGTTGTTTTGTTTTTGTTTTGAGGGGGATTTTTGTTTGTTTATTTTGATGGGTAGTAGAATGTTTAATTTTAAACTTGTTGTTCAAACTTCAAATACAGCATGAATAGCAAAGAACAGTTAATACAACATCTGCCACAATTCTCTGCACTACCTTTTCTGTATTGCTTGATATGCTACTATTTCTTATATTCACGAGACTCTTAAAGGCAACAACGTAGTTTTCTACTTTGAAATGTTTCTGCTAGTCTTCTGAAATTACTTAAAATAACTTTTAGTATCCTACTGCTACATACATTGGTGACATGATTCAGCATATTATTAATAACTTTCAATTCTCAATTCTAATTTAAACTGAGGTTCAACTCTAAGCTCAACCTAAAACAAGGATTTTCCTAAATCAGTATAGTTAGCTACTCTTCCCAAAAATATTTTCACCTAAGGTTAATTTCTTTCATAGTTTAATAGCCAGTTTTAAAACATTATGCACTAGTGTCCATTCTTCCTTTCAATTAGGTTTCTTCTCTATTTTAAAGTAGAGGTTTATTTGTTCAATAAGTAATATTGATGTATACTTTTCATTTGTTTCTGATCCAGGGTAACAAATCTGAAGAGAAAAAGGGTTAAGAAATGCACCAGATTACCAGTTCCCCATTGCAGTGATGTCAAGGAAGGTCTCCTGCACATGAAGCAGCTGAGTACAGCAGATAAATGCAATTGAAACAGTCAACAAGAAAGCAGCTGAACCTATGACATCCACTAATCTTTATGGACCTTGACCCTTAAGAGAGAAATCGAGAGACAGCCACATGTCTACATTCGGTACCTTCTTCTAGTGAAAATGAGAAACCTCTGAGTTTCAAGTCCTTCTTGTGAATATTAAATGTCCAACACGTTTTGCAAAAAGCAATCAGATTTATACAAGAGATACACGAACCACAAAACATATAACCATAGAAACAATCATGACTTCTTCATTAGAACTAAATGCAATCAAACACTGTTCTGAAGCAGAAAGTGCTGTGACTTGTTCCAATCCGTAGCTTGAGAGAGTAAAAAAATAATAATATTAAACCAAGGATTAGAGGATTTTCCACATGTGTCTCACTGCTACAAGATGAACAGCATTCTTCATAATGCAATAAGTCTTCCCATGATATATCTTTTGTTTCACATTCTGGCCTTGTATGCTCAGAATCCTGTCTAGAACTTGAACAGTGAAAGTTGCAATTAGTACCAGATTCAGGGCCATCCTCGTTAGAATAAAGCTTCTTGTAATGGTGAAAAAGTGCTTCCAGAAGTCCTGTCCACCTGGCACCAAAGTGACTGTCCTGTTTCAGGACCTTTACTAGATACTTCATCAGAGATATTTGTTATCATCCTTTGGGAATCTTTGCTGGGAACCCTCCTCAGTGTTGTTGAGATCCAGGCTGTCTCCTAAAGCCAAGGTCTTTCCTACTATGTGACTCTTCTCCCCTGGACACACTGGAGGTCTTTAGTGTTCACAATTAAACACAAGACCCTCTCTGTGTTCCAGCTAGTGATGGGTACCAGAGACCAAGGCCCAAAGGAAGTTCATCACATAGTGGCTGACATCAGAGAGACTGTGTACCTGACTTGACTGGATTTCTTAGTAGCTGTGTCACTTTGAGTAAGCTTCTTTAGCCTCAGGGACTCTGTGTTCTTCTGTGAGAAATATCAGTGGGACCTTTAGGATTAAAATATTACTCAGATAAAGCTCTGACAACCTTGCCAGAAGCAGAGTTAAGTTCTCCAGACTTGTGCAATATGAGTTTATACATGTTATGCACACAATATGTAAAACACCTGAGATGAGTGCTGTGATTTGCAGAGATCAGATGTGAACAAGGTTATGTCCTCAAGGCATTCAGTGAGTCAAGCAAGCCACACCTCTGCCTCCAATTCCTCTTTAACTCAGCATGTGGCCTCACTGCTTTCTGCTGGTGTTTGCTCTGCTCTTGCTTCTAAATAAGCCCAGATCAGCCACACCTGTGGTGCTTCCTGCCATCTATCCAAAGCCTTGCAGCACCGCTGGTCAGCCCAGCTTCCTTGCCAAAGTGGGCACACCCAGAGCCAGGGTGTAGGGCTCCTTCCTTGCTCATTAAAAACCAATGAGTCTGAGGCCAGCTTCCTAGAGCACTTAGATTCTGCTAGAGCTGAGTCTCTGAACCCAGAAAACAGAACACTACAGGAGACAGGTAACTACTGCTCTTTGGAAGCCATATATGGGGCACCTATTTTCAGTACTGTATATCTAGGCTTGAAGTGGATCTGGGGTCCTTGGTCCAGGGTATAGGCTACTGGAAAAGATAGAGCTATTTCTTTTTATCTGTATTTTATTTGTACATGTTTACAGTTCATGTAGTCTACAGTTGTCCTGGGAAATGGTTACCTGTACAAATTACAGCATTTTAAAAAATTCCTTTCCCCTTCTCTCCCCTATCTCTTCTCCAGTTCCCCTATCCAATTTTCATTCTTGTTGATATTATTTTTCTTAGTCCATGTTATTGATATAGGAAAAATATATATAACTACCAATCTGCTAGATGTCAGATATACCCAGTTCATATCCTCTGAAATTGAAGAATGAATTTAAAAGAACAAATGAGGTTAAGAATAGGAAAAGTTTATTGAGAGATAGCTCCTGAGAGATAGGAGAGACCTAGAAGACACCAAGGCTTTTTGTCAGGGATAATTTATTCAGCAAAGTCACAATGTGAGTACAACATGGGTCAAACTACAATCAACCTATAGGATTACAAGGATAGCCAGTTAGTTAGTTGATATTGGTCCAATAGGAAAGTTGGTTATATAGCAAGTATACATGGAAAGAATAAGGGCATTTGGGGAAAGGATGGGTCCAGATGCTCTGATCAGTCACCTGGACAACTGATGTGCATCTGGACTTCTAGCAATCAGGTGGAGATAATTATAGCATAATTCTAAGTTACTGCTTATCCCTTAGGGAGGCATGTTGACCTTATTAGTGTATCTTTGTCTTGAAGCTTATTATTCTTCAGATGTATTTCTAGCCAAAGTGCTGTTGTCTTTATTTTTTTTTTTTGCTGACTTCCTTATGAGTCCAATCTGTCTATAACTGTATATTAACTTATGTCTAACTTAGCCTCCTGTAGTATTTTAGCATATAATATTTATATTAACTGGGGTTATTAGGTTCCTATACATGGTATGTCCTTATTCTTCTCATTTCCCATTCCCTTGCTCTTCACCATTCACCCTGTTCCCTTGGACAACACTCCTATTGCAAGAGATCCATCCTCTTGTTCCTTTCTATACATCCTATATCATTTTCTTTGGTTGTACTTTGCCTGACTCCAATGAGACACTCTATATGACATTTTGGGTTGTGTGTCTGGTTTATTCCACTCAACAGATTTTCAAGATGCATTCATTTTCTTTGTCGCTCTTTGTGAGTACTCCATTATACGTAGATACCACATTTTATTATTATAATTTAGTTTATTTCTTTAATTTTATTTTAGAGAGAATAAAAAAAAATAAAATAAAACAGAATAGAGCCAGTCAAATCAAAACAGTGAAAGTAATGCAGAACTTCAAAACAGGATAGTAGGAAATCAACAATGGTTACCATAATGCACTTACTTTCTTCGAAATTGCTGCCCACACCATCAGACAAAATAAAATCAAACAAAACGGAACAGAATAAACCAATCAAAATAGAACACAGAAGAAAACAAAACAATAAAATTGAACAAAACAAAACACTAAGAACAACATTGGATTTCAAAACAAGACAGAAGGAAATCCCCCATAGTTGATACACTGAATGTTGTTATTCTCTAAATAGATGCTCAGACTACTGGCTTTAGGCCTGAAAAATGAATCAAACAATGCAATAATAAGTTGGTTTTGTACCTCAGTTGCCAGCAACTCAGTTGTGTTCTTCTGAACCATGTGGTTGCTTGGAGGCTGCAGTAAGGGCTCTTAACTCCCAACTTGAATACTAGTTGTCTCACGGGAAGGGCAGACTGGCTTTTTCCTGGCCCCACATGGCTGCTACTGGCTCATAATAAGGGCAGATTGGCTTCTTGCCCCTCATCATTGCTTCTGGCTCACAGGAAAAGCAGACTGTTTTCTTGTTTCTCTTCCTGGCCCATCATGGCTGCTACTGGCTCATGGAAAGGGTGGGCTGACTTCTTGCTTCTCTTCCTGATCCTGCATAGCCTCTGTTGGCTGATGGGAAGGTTGGACTGGCTTCTTATTTCTCTTCCCAGCCCCTCATGGTCACTGCTATCTCATGGGAAGGATATATTTTCTTCTTCCTGGCTCCAGGTGACTGCTGCTGAATCACAGGAAAAGCAGACTGGCTTCTAATTCTCTTCTCAACCCCTCATGGCCACTGATTGCTCATGAGAAGGGAAGATTGACCAAGCTTATCCAAAACAGATATGGTTGTTCTTCTTTCAAGGAGAGTTGTCTGGGTAATTCCCCACAGCTCTTCCTTCTTTTTATTGAATAAGCTGGAGTAAAATTAGCCATGGCTGCATGCCTCTAATTGTTGCCAGGCTGTGAATACCATATAACACATTTTAATGAGAAAAATTATAAAACAAGAGAAAGATCATACCAATTCTAGTATAAAACCAAAACTGAGCCTTGAGATACATAAGTGGATTTAATTATTTTGTGTACCAGCAAATTTATTCCAATCCTTAATGTGTATATCAAAAGTACTTGACTGTTGTGACACTGATAGGACTTTTCTCTGAGGAACATCTATAGTAATATTCTGATGGATGGCTCCTTGCGTATGTCTTTGGACCATATCCCAATGATGTAGGCTTCTATTATATGATAATTGGGTGATGCAAAATTGAGTTATGTTATGGTGACACTTTAAACGCTGTTGTAATTGCAAACTTTCAATTTGATCTCCCATCCAAAGGGCAGAGGTTGCTCCAAAATGCTCACTTAGGGTTGCAATTTTATATCAATTTGTTGCTGAATTTTCCAACTGGCATTAGCAGTCTTGTCCAGTTGTCTACAAAGTGAGCGGTTTGTACTGAATGAATTAATGCTGTAGAGCCAACAGCTGTGCTAGCTATCAAAAGGGCTAGGGAAGTTGCTCCTGCTAAAATTAATCCAATCATCCTCTTGGCCCAATTACTAAATCCTTTAATTAATTTATCTACCAAGAAGGAGGTATGGGAAGTATGTAAATGACACCAAGGCTCTGTTAGATTGACTGGAAGCCAAATTCCAGGCATCTTGCTACACAGGACTACTGTGGTGTCCTTAAAAAGATGTTCATGTATGATACAATGGGTTAGATAACAATTAGTACATGAGAACATATTTTGTTGCCATTCTATCTTCTCTGTCAACAATACATGAGGATCATAAAGATGTATACTTACTTTTATATAACTATGATCTTATAATACTATTTTGAGTTTTCCTCCATTTAATGGCTGCAGATTTCCAGTCTGTAATCATCCAACATGAGAAAGTAGGGCTAATTTCCATAAAGTATGTTATATTGGTCTAATTTTGTTATTGATAATGAGTCTGGGAAAGGGAGGATGAGTCCTCTACCTGATCATATAACACTGGAAAAAGCCTCTGAGGTCACGATACCATCAGGAGAGTCTGAAAAAAAAAAGCCTCTGCCATCTTGATTCCTTCCCAGAAAGAATTCTCTTGGGGACAAATCTATAAAGACATAATTAAATTTGTGTATAGGCTGTCCATGGTATGGATCCCTGCAAATCTGCCAGGGACCCATATCACCTTCCTCAAAACAAGGGGCATGAACCTCTGGAATACAGATGGGAAGGTTGGGTTTAAAATCCCTTACAATGTAACCATCTGAAGGAACAGATTTTAGGCTTAATAAGACAAATTGTCTTTTAGATAGTTGTGTTTTCCAAATTTGACCCACAGCTGACATGCAAAGGCTAGAATTTTGCTGCACATGGCCTACACATAAAGGTGAATACAAAGAATAAGACGTAATGCTAAACTTATGTTGTTCTTGTAAATGCATTAAAATCTGAGGGCCAGGCAGAACAGTATAGGTGAAGTTCTTGCTTTTTATAGAATGGAAAATTTCTGCGGGTTTGTCCATCCATGTAAAGAGTCTGAGCAAGGCTGGATTAGGCATAGAGGTACAATACTCATTTCCCTGAACCATAGGAATACATACTGTAGCAGCTAATATAGCAAGCATTGCAAGGAGAATATTTTCCGGTGATTGAACCAAACCCTGGCTGTTAACTAACTAGGTGAAGAGTCTCATGAATGGTCTGCTGCAAGACTTCCCAGGATGGTGGATGATGTGATATCAGGTTCATTGCTTGAGGTCTTGATGCAGGACTTGACATGTCATGCAGGTGGGTTGGATGTTGGCCAGGTAACAGATCTGATGGTTGTAATGTCTCCCAGTCATCTGTGGAAATACAAGCATACCCTCAGCTCCAATTTAAAGGTGATGCTGGACCATTGCAAGTACCTGTTTGGAGGCCATGCCAAACTGGATTTAGAAAAGTTGAAACATATATAGCAAAGTTTTGACCTTGTGGTTCCCTTTTGTTTAGCTTGTTGAGTTTTAAATTTAATATTATTGTGTTCAATTGTCAGTTGATCTTGGGGATTATAGAGTATTCCTATACCTAACTTCATATTCAAGTTATACTTCATATTCAAGTTATCAGGAAAACTCTAAAAATATTGATTAAGTAGAACTAATATCAATTATTACTGTTTGTGACACTCCCAAGTTGGCAAAAGTTGATACACAATGCTCTATGACATGTTGACTTTGTTTACCTGAATGACTGGTAGCATGAAAGGCATCTTTAGAGGTATGAATATATTTGTTTGTTAAAGGACACTATCTAGTTACTATTTATTTGGCATAAGTGATTGGTTCTAATACCCTTGGGATTGCCACTGTGTGTTGAGGAATTGACCTAAGCAGGACACGACATCACAATTTGTCTTGCTTGTGTTATGGTAATTTTAAATTCCTTTAGTAGAGATTTAGAAATATGATGAAAAATTTATGCAGTTGTCTTAATTTATTAAAATGGAAAACAGATATACAAGAACATCTGCATTATAATCAATCACCTAATGACAATGAGCCTGGGAGACTGGAATAAATTGCAGTATAATCAATAAAGATGGAGCTGTTTTACTTAATATAGCCCTTAGC